GAGAGAGAGAGAGAGAGAGAGAGAGAGAGAGAGAGAGAGAGGCAAGGTTGGGGTAATGGCCCCCAACGAGAGCAAAGTCATCCCCGTTAACAACGTTCTGAAAGGGAAGTTCACTTCCGCACTGTGTTTCGACGTGCCGATATGTTATTGGTCACTATTACTTGAACACAACCCCAACAGAAGATCAGGGATTGAGCGCTGAAGGGGGACATCAACACAGATGTTTACACCGTTGGGATTTCGCGATTATCATGATTCTGACATTTTTCCATGTGGCTAAGCTGGTGAATAATTGCTGCCAATAGCGTTTTGAAAGGGCAGCCTGCTTTCGCACTGTATTTCAATGAGCTGACATGTTATTGGTCATCATTACTGGAAGGCATCCCCAACAGAAGATCAGGCATTGGGCACTAAAGGGGGGTATCAAGACAGATGTTTACACCGTTGGGATTTCGTAGTTATCGAAATTTAGACATTTTCATATGTGACTGAGCTGGTGAATGCTTGCAGTCACTGCGGTAATCTGATAATGGCTATGTCCACGGAGTGTAGTGCCAAGAGGAAAAACGTGGCCAAGTCAGAAAGCAGCGCTAACTAAAGAACCAGTTCTGAAAGGCCTTACCAGCCTCGATGCCTGACAAAAATAAATAAATTAATAAGGGTGTTGGAAGAGAGACCCTTGGCATTGATTTTGCTTGAGTCGCAAACTTTCATATCAGATTTGTACATTTTGTTTTCTTTGTTTTGCTTTTTCATATTATCTAAGTGTGCAGTGGGGGAACATAAAAGTCAACTTTAAGTGAGAAGTGACAGGCGATCTGAACAACACTTCCTACCGACCGCTGAGGACCTCTGAAGCGAGCGCGGCGAGTGACAGGCGCCGTTGCCCTCGGCTTCAGCGAGCAGTAGGTGACCCCTCCCCGGGTTTCCTCACAACTTTGGCGCCGTTGCCGGGGAGGGGAGCAGCACCCCCAAGGTCGTGGCCTTCCCCAACCAACGGGGGTGCACGGGCTGATTAGTCAAGCACTAATTAGCTTGTTTTCTTGATCAGTTTTATTTTTTATAATCATTTTATTTAGTTTTTTGAAATATCTCCCGATCCGCGCGCTTTCGCCGCGCTAGGAGCAAAGTTCGCCCTCTCGTCGAGGCGAACGTTTTGAGACGTTTTTTGAAAAATTCTAACTGCTAAAAAAAAAGATATGGAATTTTTTGTATTTTTATAATTAAAAATCTCAAAAATCATGAGTTAAAAATTTTAATTGGTTTTTCCTCGATATCTCCTGATCCGCGCGCTTTCGTGTTAAAAATTCCAAAAATTTTAATTTTCGTTTTATTGAAATGGTCGGGAAAATAAGCGAAATTAGGGGAACCCCGCTGGGACCAAAGTTGGGCCCTGCATTTTTCCCGACATTTTGAGACCCTAGTCGGGGAAAACGGACTTCGTTTGGACAAACGGCGAGCTCCAACAGATAGAAAAG